GTGACAACCTCCTCATCTGTTTTTGCCCGTAGCTATAAATGGTACCTGGTTTTCTAATCCTGGGATAGAGGCTATGCACCAAGTCTCTCTGGCTCTTAAGCGCATTAAGTGTTTTGTAGCTGCTCTTATTTTGGACATCACTGCACTCATAGGAATAGCATTATCAGCTACATCCTAAGTTAAAGAGGTACATACTGCCCGTCATATTGATTATTCAAAAATGTCAGTGTTGCTTTAATGATCCAGGAGCAAATAGATAGAGGGTTAAAGGATAGACTCAATGGTCTTGAAGAGGTTATACTTTTTATTAAAACAAATACACTAGTAGAGTTGCTATAGCCAGAATCATCTGTAACATTGTCAAATGTGTATGCAGACGCCAAAGAAGCAGTCCTCAGGACACTTAGGTGTCTTCTCCTTGGCCCTCAAGTAGCATGCTCTTTTAGCTGCCACTGGGTTGCCTGGAGGGAATTGCTTCCTGCATCTCAGGAACCACACGTGGAAGGGGCTATGCTTTGCCATCTACAGCAAACCTCCCAGGTGATGGGATTATAGTCATGAACTACAACAGCCAACAGTGCTGTGGATTGGACTGGGGCCTCCAGGACACCAAGGTAAACACTCTACTGACTGCACTGCACCCTGTGTCCTCTTTATTTCCAATTTCTACAGCCTTTGCTACTTTTTCTTAGTATATTACATGACCTGGAATCCCCCAAATCCAAACAGAATTAACAGCGGGTAGCTTTACCTTGCTTCAAACTCAATAGCAATACTTCTGTCTCAACGTTGTTTCAGATTTGCTGCCTTAGGTTTTCAGTTTGGGTAGGAAAATGTACTTGTCTTCCTAGTTGCTAAGAGTCCAGCACTAACTCTCATGAGTCACAGATGTGCGATCTATGTTCCATGGAGGAATATTAAACTACCTTTAATCTGATAATGTAGCCATGGTTCCATTCAAGGACTTGGGTACATGTGGTCACTTCTGCATTACTGTAGGAAACACTAGTAGGTCACGGGAATTTTACTTGCTGAATTTAACTGACAAGTCTATTCTTTTTGCTATGCACCGAGGACGACCTTGAACGTCTGATACTTTAAACTCTAGAGTGATGTGAGTATAAGTGTCTGTCTCCCCTGGGTCTTCAGTTAGCTCAGCTCTGCCTAAGATTTAATCCTTTCTCTCCAGTTCTAGGTGTGTCCTGGCTTTGACCTCCTGAGGGTCTCTTCTATATGAAGTATGATGTGGGATTCCCCTCTGTGTGCTGTGAATATCACTGGTGAATAAAGAAGCTGCTTTGGCCTGCGACAGAGCAGACTATAGTTAGGCAGGGAAAACTAAACTGAACGCTGGGAGAAAGAAGGTGGACTTAGCGAGAAGCCATGTAGCTGCTGCAAGAGACAGATGCCTGTGAAACCTTGCTGGCAGGCCACGACCTCATAGTGATGCACAAATTAATAGAGATAGGTTAATTTAAGATATAAGAACTAGCTAGAAATATACATAAGCTAATAGGTCAAGTGTTTTTAATTAATAGTTTCTGTGTGCTTATTTCGTTCTGGGTGGCTGGGAACGAACAGGCAGCCTCCGCCAACAGCCATATTTGCTAAGCAAAGTATGTCTAAGCTGCCCCTGTGGATGCTCTTCTATCTCTCCTTCAGTTCCCAGAACCCAAGGAACCCCACTCTGACTCTGCTGTGTTTCTGGCTTCAGAGATTCAGTGCACAGTGAAGTCTGGTTTTTCACCTGGTGGCATTGCAGCTTCTTCACCCATTGTGGTCCAAACCAAACTCTGAATCCATACTTCAATCTTACTCGGAGAAACTGAAGAGTTCAAATTTGTGTACCTGTAAATGTTTTTAAAAAGAGAGTCAAACCAGGTTCTCTTTTTGGTGGGTAGTTCATGCCTACAATCCTAGCAGCCAGGAGGCAGAGGTTGCAGAGCCAGTGGTCTAAGGGAAGGGTATTGTTTTATTTTTCTAGGGGTCAAACTAAGGGCCTTGTACATGTTAAATAAAAGACAAGGAAGAAAAAAATGTCACTAAGCATGAGTTCCAGCTAAATCTAGTGCTCAAGACAGAGTGAACAGTTTTGAAGTGTGACCTTTGCTCTACAGACAGCAGCTTTACCGATCATTGGCAAGGTCAACAGTGGCATCAATTACGAAGACTGGAGGTGCAGTCTGTTCTCAGCTCTCTCCTCTCTTTCCTTTAAGCATCAGTGGGACTTGAACCTAATTCTGCATTCATGTTAGGCAAGCGCTCTACCAGCGAGCTATGTCCTTGGGCTGTCTTGTAATTTTTATGTTTGATACACAGGTCTTGTCAAGTGGCCCAGACTTGCCTTCAACTTGCTTTGTTGTCCAGGCCTTGAACTTTGCAACCTCTTACCTCATATCCCTGATTAGCTGGGACTGTTGGCCTTAACAACTGGCTGCCTTTGAACCAACCCATGCCCCTGGAGTGCTAGGATTATAGGCTTGAGGCCCACCTTGGATGCTCATATTCATAACTGTCCTACCACTGTGCTTAAATTCTCCTTATCAGTTTCTGCAGATGTACATACTTTGCATTTGAATGGGTATAAATATTACTCTTGCTAGGGACATAGCTCTGTGGTTACTGTGTAGTTGGAGCATCATTCTCCTCTCTCTCTCTCTCTCTTCTCTCTCTCTCTCTCTCTCTCTCCAAGCTCATCTGCTCTGAGTCTCTGAACAAGCGAAAGGTACCAAAAGCCCAGCTCTGCATACTTGGAGGCCACTGCAGGTTCCTCCCCTGATGCTGCCCACGGTCCCGCCTAAACGCTTGGCTTTTGACACATCATCATAAACATGTCACCTATAAAACCTCCTGGCCTTACACAACTTCCCTGTCATTGATCTCTGAGATCAGTGAATCGGCCTGGGAGTTGCTTTGCTCGACAGGGGTTATACTTCTTAAATTCGACTTCTCTGGCTTACTGAATCGGCAGAGAAACCTATTATCTTGAGGCAGGGAACCTATTTCTTACTTCTGACTAGTCAAGGGGAAAGGAGCTCTTGCCACAGAATGAACTAGCATGTCACCACTTTTGTCAAATCACTAAACTTATCATCAGGGACAAAAGTGACATTCAATGCTTCCGAATGTCAAGCCACATGAACGGCACAGGAAGCGCTCGATCCTCTGGTAGCTTGCAATGTGAAGCGCATACAAGGTCCAGCGACACACAATGAATACACAACATGGGGCATGTTTCAAAATAAGTGGCTTGACGTCTTAAAGGAAAACAAAGGCGGGGGGGCTGAAGAGATGCTCAGCAGTTAAGAGCGTGTACCGCTCTTGCAGAAGACCTATGTTTGGGTCCCAGCACACATGGCCAGAGGCTTGCAACATCTGTAACTCTGGTTCTAGGAAATCTGATAGTCTCTTTTGGTCTCAGTGTGCATAGAAATACATAGATATAAATAAACTTATTTTTTTAAAATACAATATTGTCGAGAGGAGATTGATTAGACTTTTTAAAGAGATTAGAAGCAACCTGAGATGGGAAACCATTTATAGAATTCTGCGTTGAAAACAAATGACTTGTAAAGACACCGGAGAAATGAACATACTGACTATAACTGGATGCTAAATGACAGTGGAGAATAAGAGTTCAGACAAGTGTGACAAGGACCTCACAAGACAGTGTGTTGTATGAATACTCAGAGTTGGGTACTATGTTCAAATTACTCATCTCAAGCTCTTAAAAACCATTCTTACCCGAAAGTTTCAACTCCTCACTTTGGCTTAAGAGGATAAAAGTTTGGTTGGTGCCTTCAGGTGTATCTCTCTTCTTAACTTCAGGTCTAACTCCTGATAAACTCTACGTAAGTGTGTTAACCACTCAAATTCTGTGTGTTAGCCAAGCCACAGCATCCCTGTCTGAGGGAGAATGTACAGATCATGTGAAGTGAGCAGACTGTGCCAGAGACAGGGGCATGCTTTCCAAAACATCTGTCTGGGGACGGAGCACATATTCCAGCTCAGTAGCAATGTTAAGAAGTTTAATGGAAGTAGAACAGAGAAAGTCCTCCGTGGATCAGCATACTTTAAAAGGGCCTCAGTGTCCACGATAGGTTTCAGACGTTATCTGACAGCACTCTTAGCCTCTTGACTGACGGGAGGCAGGTGTGTGTGTACATTCTACAGGATTTACCTTAGGGTCACAAGGCTGTTAGATCACACACACAGGTGGGCAATAAATGGCTACTAAGGGGTCTACAAATGCCCAGATAATGTTGGCTCTGGACCTGGAACATTCTAATCTCTCCACAATGGGAGGTCTAAAGAGTTAATCAGACCTACAGACCATTCAGTGGAAGGCTTTCTTTGCTGGAATGTTCTATTACAACTATTAGAAGACCATTTTCCGGGAAAATCTATTGTTGTTGTTGTTACTATTATTTTTATTACTACTGAAAGATTAATCTTATAATTCTGAGCATTTGTCTCACAATGGAATCCACATACCGTTCCCAGGTTTTGGTGTGTGTGAGAACGCTACAGGCAAGACAGAGAGGATATTTGAGAATTTCGGAAGCACGGGCATTCCTTCGCTCTAGTCCAGCCTTGGAAGCCACCTTATACATAGAAGTCACAAAGTACAAGGATTCGTCTGGATCTGACTCTGAGTAAAGGTTACAGCCGACCGCCGTAAACGTCTGCCCGTGCCCTTTGGCCTGGATTCGGGTCCAACCCTCGGGGAGCCCTCCCGAGAGGACGCGACCGCTGGGAGCTCGGGTGACAGGAGGCAGACAGCAGCTCAGGCTGGGGCCGGGCCGCGGGAAGGGCGCAGGCGCCAAACCTCGAGGCCCCGCCCTCTCCTGGCATGACCACGCCCCCAACGCCTTCTGCTGGGGCAGATCACGCCCCTCGAGTCCCCTCACTAACTTCGGCGTCTTCAGAGCCAAGATCCGGTCCGCCTGCTTAGGGTCGCTCCATCCGCCCGCCCGCCCGCAGAAGCTCCGCCCCAGCCCCGCCCCTCCCTCCTCGCCACGCCCCCTGTGGACGAGCCCCCACTCCACCACCCTTATTACCTTGCCTTGCAGTGCTCAGAGCCAGCTGAAAGAGGAATCATCATGGCAGTGGCGTTCCGCAGAGGCTACGGGGTGAGCTGGGTGCGGGCTGGGATCGGGTGTTGTGCTACGCGGCCGGAGGAAGGGTGGGAGTCTGCGGGCCTCGACCCGCAACGCTGACCACTGCGGGCGTGGTCCTGTGAACCTGCTTCGCGCTCAGCCGGGAAGGGGCAGATTGTTCTCTCCGTTATCCACCCTTCCCGAACTCGGTGGGAACCCGGTGTCAGAACCGTGTTCTGGCGAAGGGGACTTGCAGAAAACTCTCACTACAGTCCCACCCGGGAAGGCATCAGACAGTGTGTTGGTCTGCACCTTCGATCGTAAACAGATGTCAGGACCCAGACAGGCTGGTCCTGGGTGTGCACAACCCAGGGCTAGTCCTGATTGAAGGAAAGGGAAGTGGCTGCTGCTCTCGGGCAGAATCGGTTTAGTGCCCCTGTGGTTCCGGAATGTTCAGGCACTCTTCCAAAAAAACAGAAGAACCTTCATGAAACCCGTGTGTACACTTCAGCACTTTGTCTTCTAAAGTCTGTCCTAGTAACTAACTAAGCTAAAACTTTCATATCTTAAATATTATCGATGTATTCATACAAGACCTCCACTTATGTCACTTAAAATTGCCTTTGACCCCAAAAGATGCAGTTTTAGAATTTACAATGATTCTATTGTAGTAGTGATTGCCTTTTCCCCCTGGCCATTACAATACAAATTAATAGGCTCTGAAAGCAGAAATTAGAGGGTTTTAAAATTAGTTTTAATTCTGACAACAGAGCTAAAGGCTTCCCTGGTACCTCCAAGGACAAATGAAGGAAAGCCCAACCCCATACCTAATCAGAAAATGCACGTTTCTTTATCTGTTTTCCCACACTGCTGTAAAACCAAGCCTTAAATTTCTAAGAAATTCGTTATTTAGCTGTGCTGTTGCAGATTTGAGGACTAAAGTTATTATTGTTCCCATGTTTGGAATTCCATTGTTCTTGGCAGAGAGCCAGGCGTAATCAACACTATTTTGACTAGAATTTCAGAAGATCCTATTTGTTGCTTGTTCACATCGGATCTCAGCTAGTCGTCCAGGCTGGCCGAAGCTCACAGCTTCCCCTCTGCCTTCCAAGCGCCCTCGAGTCGGGCTATCTTGTTTAATAATCCCCAGTTACCCACTAGAATAGTGAGCCCTAGTCTCCAGATGCAAATCCACATTGTGTATTTGGAACTGTTCCAAGATGGGCATTTGCAAAATTTAGACTTGGTGTTGCAACATTAACTTCTTAACCCTGCGCTGTTCTTCACTCTTTCTACTAAGCTGCCTCTGCACACACACACACACACACACACACACACACACACACACACACGCGCGCGCACACACACACACACACACGCACGTGCACGCACACACACGTACGCACGCACACACGCACACAAGCACACAGGACTGCTCATCCTGCACAACCAATGAGCAGGTCCCTGGGTTAATTGGGCCTACCCTAATTAAATAACTAATATCAGTGTTCAGCTACCCCTCCTAGTTTTATAGAGTGGGGATCTTCATCCAGTCTCAGGAGTGGAGGCTGAAGAATTGGGATCCCAAGGCCAGCCTGGGTTTCACGTGGACTTGTAGCCATCCTCAACCACCTTAAAAGAAATTGTCCTAAAAGAAACACAAACTGGATTATGAGGGCCTGGAGTGGTGCCCTTGTGAGGTAGAGGTGGGTGGATCTCTGGGGGCTCAAGGCCAACCTGATCTACCAAGTGAGTTTCCAGGTCAGCTAGGGCGGCACACTGAGACCTGGTGTCAAAAACAAAACAAACAACGGCAACAAAATTCCACGCTCTGGGACACACTCACACAACCGATTATGGCTTCTTTGCTTGTTTGTTTTTGTTGTTCAGTATTTGCGACTCTTGCCGAGGGCCCAAGTTTGCTTCGCAGCACTGATGTTGGGTGTCTCACAACTATCCATAACTCCAGATCCAGGGGATTGAAGGCCCTCCTCTGGCCTTTTGGGATATCTGACACACATATATAGACATACACATAAGTGAAAATAAACCAAAATTAAATAACATTTCCATCATGGATAGGTGTCCATCTAGCCTGTAACTGACTTTTGAACTATAATTTAAAGTGCTTGGTACTGACTATAAAAACATGGGTCTTGAATATGACCATAGAGATGCTGTGCTCGCTTTGGAAGGTCAGCATAAATAATTTATTCGTACATGGGTGTGTCTGTGTGGAACTCTCGGCGTACACAGAGCAGGTGGGAAGTCAGAGGACACGTGTGGGAGTCAGTTTTCTCCCACCACGTGAGTTCCAAGGCTCACACTCCTGTCACCAGCCTATACCGTAAGCACTTTTGCCCCTAAGCCACCTCAGTGGCCTAGCCAGCATTCATTCATCTGTTTGATACTTAATTGATCAGATTTATTTGTAATATACATGTCTTTTCCAGGTCCTAAGAAGTCTTTCTCGTTTTGAGTGGCGAGGGCAACACACGAAAGCATCTCACAAGAAGGAGCCAGGATTAGGGTTTAGTTTGGTATGTGTGATGTTCTGTCCTTTGATCTGAAAATGTATGTTTGTAAACATGATGTCTGTCCAGGGGTAGAGCTCGTCACCACCCACAGATGGTTCATATCTGCTGTACGGTATCATGGTCTTTCGTACACACCAGTACATCCAGCAGTGTTGACAGGCTGTGTGTTCATTATTCTTCCTCTTTCTCCCCCAAACAGATAGCCCAAATAAACAAATATTTACCAATATACAGGAATTGTCTTCAACTTAGAAATTAAATGTAACAAATACTTCTTTTTCTTTGGAGACAGACTTGCACTCCATAGCTCTGGCTGGAACTCTCTATGTAGACAGATAGGCAGCCCTGGAACTCACAAAGATCTGCCTGCCTCTCCCTCCTAAGTACTGAGATTAAAGATGTGAGCAACCACACCTGGCTCAACAAATATTTCTTGAAACACTTCCTGGATTCAATGCTGGATGTTGTAACAAGCTAAAAAAAAAAAAAAGCCCAATTTATGTGAGCTATAGTTTGATAGAATCATGACATTCTCAGACCTAAGAGCAGGAAGCAATGCAATATTGGAGAGAAAAGAAGCAAGGGTTTTCTTTCCTTTTTATAAAATGAAACATTCAGGTCAAAAATGTGAAATATATCCTATTTTTAGGGTCCTTCATCCCCTAAAGGTCTTTTGCTTCAAATTTGTATCTTTCTTCTAGGTAGCTTTCTGGGGTTATTGGTTTTATGCTTGAATATATAATATATGCATACATTATATATTATTGAATATATATAGCATTATATGTCTAACATAAATATATAATATTTATATTCTAACCAGAATTAAACAAAGACTTTTCAAATGATATCAGGATAGATTGGATCAGTTGGCGTTTGAAGATAGTCCCCTTTGCTCTGCTATCTACTCTCAGCTTTTTACAGACAAATTCCTACATATCAGTTAGCACTAGCAAGGGTCTGTGACAGCCTGCTGAGTGTCTGAGGGTGAGGGAGGTGGAGGGATTTAGGAGGGAGCTGGTGAGGCTCTGACTGAATGCTGACCACCTCAGGCCGATCAGTCTGCTGCTGTTAAATAGAGGAGACGTGAGGTTTGCAATAAGATCGGTCACGTGAAAGCATTTCGCCAACAAATAGTGAAGTGCTGGACGCCTTTCCTGCCTTTGACAAGCCCATGGCCTTGACAGGAATTGTCTCCAACCCTAGAAGTAGAGTTGTGATTCAGAAAACACTGGAATAGCTGGGCGGTGGTGGCACACGCCTTTAGCACCCGGAAGGCTGGAGGATTTCTGTGAGTTCACAGTCAATTTGGTCTATTGAGCAAGTTGCAGGACAGGCTCCAAAGCTACTGAGAAACCCTGTCTTGAAAAACCAAAAGAAAACACTAGAACAAAGCTCCAAGCCCTCTTCTGCTGAGACATCATTGTAGCAGGGAGACCCCCTCCTCTCTGCCTTAGTCTCCTCCTTTTTTTCTTTTTAATTGAACTCACTTTTAGTAATGATACAGCATAAAAACAGCATGCTGGCCATTTTAAAGGAGGACCTTGCTTTTGCATGGTGTCTGGCTGTATATTTATTTAATATATATTTGCTGACTAAAGTACACAGCACTCAGCAGTAACTTTAACGCTGAGACTTGGTCCTTCCTTTACATTTTACCTCTCATGTCACCATAGAAATGATAGCTGCAGTCATTCTCTCTCTCTCTCTCTCTCTCTCTCTCTCTCTCTCTCTCTCTC